CGGAAATTTACTGGAGCCCACTTTTTTTTACAGGTAACTAGTTTGCTGCTGGAAGCGGAAAGACGAAAACTGTCGGTGCTTCAAAGGGAGCTGCAGATCGCTTTAGAAGAGGGCGGTTCGATCAAGGCCAAAGAGCATCAAAAGCAGGAACTACTCGCAGCTATAGCGTAAGTTTCTCAATCTCGATATACACAATATGCCTAATGTGTGTGTAAAGTAAGAATAAAAAATATTTTTTTAAGGATATATTGCGAATGTACGAAGCTAAGATTTTTTCTGTCCAGGCATTATATCTTCTGATTGGGAAGTTAATTTTTTGTGCGTATATTAAAACCACAAAAAAATAAGTCAACGAAATTTCAATATTTTATTTTACTTTTTTTATTTTATTTACTTAGAAATTCAACTCGTCTTTTATGGTTTTAATGTTGTCAATTTCAATAAATTGTTATGTTTGACGTCGACTTGGCTAGGTCCCAAGGTGTGCATTGCATGTAATTTGTATTTATATAATTACTCATTAGCCCTTAATTGGCTCATAAGTAGTCCCTTTTTCTCACCAGTGGTAGTGAAAAATTCAATAATTTCCCTAATTGTTCTGAAATTCGTTTAATTTCCTCACGGTTTGCCTTTTATTATCACTATTATCCACGTATTGGTCTGGGTGGTATTGGCCCTGGCGGTTTACTCTTCGAATAAACTATAACGCGGATAAATTAAACTCCAGTAAGACAATACCCCAAACTCCAAATTCCATATGATTCACTTTTTATGCTCTAGAACTACTATGGTCAAATTACCATAGTAGCAACCGAAATTTACCAAACTCATCTATCATTCTCGAGGCGTGAGTCATGCTTGCGGAAAGCAAATGTGGATTAAATAAAATTAATGCTCATAACGTGGTCCCTTTTGACCAATGTTCGTAATGGAGATCATATAAATCTTTATAGGGGTGTCCTTTTAGTGCCAAAGTATTATTTAGATGTCCAGAGGATTCATAATTTTTAGTTCATCTTTAATCATTATATCATGCAGCAAGTGTGGTAAACGGCACTTAAGTCACGAGTTTATTTGGCGCAAGCAGAGCGCAGCGGAGCAAGTGCTTTAACAAAGCAGTTCTCAAAATGGAATTTTTACTTTTTCTTTTATACATATCACTGACTGAACTATCATATACATTTTTGTTATTAATTTATATTTGTCTGGAGTACAAATGACTTACTGAGTCATGCTAACTTAGCAATAAATAATTGAGTACATAAGAGGGCTGAATACATACTATTCTATTAAAAAAGTATGTTAAAATTAGTCGATTTTTTAAAACACCATGATTTTTTGGTCAAGGTAATTCTATTCAAAAACTTATGAACCAGATCTTTGTCTTCCTGGATCATTTATTCCTTCTACTGCGCGACGGGCACTGGTGCCACCTAGACTTAAATGGGGAAGTTGCGCGAGGCGCCAGCGTTACCGACTAATGCCTTGCTGTACATTTTCTTCCAAACTAACGATCTCTTTTTAACATTCCAAGATTTGAACAATGTGCAAAATCGATCAATAATAATAGCTCCATTTTCACTTCCGAAATCCGGCCGGTCCGCCTGGCGCCATCTGTCGACGCGCGACTCAACCCATGCGTTTTTTCAATTTGCAGGCGGATTCAGGCGCAACACGATCACTTGGAGAAAGAATACCGAGAGAGGGCGCTGGGCGCTCTGATCTCCGCCAATTCCAGAGGTTCCGGCAAGGTGAGATACCAATTTTACATACCCGATTCCTAGTAATTACTGACGGCGCAGCGTATGGACCTCTTAACCTTAACGGGATTATTTTAACTTTTAAACCACTGAACGCAATTATATTTTATTTACAATACTTGTTGATTTTTTTGCCCACCCGCGTTATTTAGAAGCTGTGTTCGTGAGCAGCGAAGGCAAATCGTAAAGAAATAACTACAAAATTGTAACCGTAGAGGATTGCTTTCAAACCAAATATATCATTCGTATGCGTATGTTTTATTTTAAAACAACGCGTGCTTCAGTTAAAAGCAGCCATTTTCAGCTTCTACAATAATTTGTAATTTTTGTATGCGGCAAACAAAACACCTCTCAAGATCAAAGCTCAAGAAACAGGTACATTAATACGTTCTTATTTCAAGGACCACAGTCAAATACGTAATACATATATACGAACATATTGCAATTTAGATTAAACTGTTAAGAACGATACATATCACCTGAAGCTAAAATAGACGCTTTTACTTATTCGAAAACACCCAATCAAATTTAATCAAATTTAAAATGGTTCACTTACATTTCAAATAAAAATGTCAAGTCTGCCAATCGCAGGCAAAACCTATTTACTGCAGAATAAATATCTTTTGGATGGGTTTAACCACGGTCCCGCGAAGGTCTGCGGTTAAGGTACCGTAAAATACCGAAAACGTCAAAGTAATAAATGTACTATATTTTTGGTCGTACAATTGCTGACAGGGTTCGAAGTGGCGGTGCTTCAAAGTGAAATTCGGTTTAAAGAATATCTCTTGTGCATTCGTGCATTTGTTATTCGACATCTTTTGAACTAAGCGCTTGGATATATTATATATTTACACTTCTCGCATTTTAATTTTAATTTCTGTAACTGCAGCATTGCTGACCATTTTTAACATTGTTTGTCATTTATGTCATTCTTCTGTTTTGTTTGTCATAAAGAAAAATGTTATTCCATAAATTGTTTTACAACGAAATTAATAAGAACTAAAAGTTCAGATTTTCACGAAATTATATATTATGACATGACAATTGTTTCGACAACACCTTGTCTTTATCAAATGTAATATTTACAAACTACCTGTTACTATATATACCGAAAAATGACCATAAAACCTTAATTAATGTTGTTGGGAGAATTTAAGTTCAATAAAGGAGAGGTATTTAAATCTAATTGATCGTTAAGCAATACATTTGAATGTCTCATTTTGTTAAGGCTTCCAATAAATTTAATTTTCTACTTTTTGTGGCTGTGTGTAATATATCAAAATTGTCGTCAAAAATGTGTTTCTCTGTGTTTAAGTGTGTAGCATAATTAGAATTTAGTTTTACATACTGTAAGATAAGGATGTCTATCATGCGGATATTGGAAACTATAAGCGATAGGAACATGGTTAAATTATAAAAAAGTTGCAAAATTTAAAGGTTGAGAAAAAATTCCCATCGCTACCGAAAATATACCAATAAACAGAAATTTGGTTTTATTTTTATTTTTTTCTGGTGTTATTTAAAGAGAAGTCACTTTCTCGTTGCCACTTTTTGAAATCTAAAAGGTATCATTGTGACCTTTATTTTTTCAAATGGACCGTGAAACGTATTACGAATGTAACGCCTTTGTACGACATAATATGATCCTGGGGTTTTATTAATTTTTCAATGTTTTGTGTAGTAGGCGACATGATAAATAAACAAAAAATAGATGAAATGATAGCTAAGTAGCTAAATCACGTCACATGTTAATTCATCAAACAAATTACTAAAAAACAATTTACTAAAAAAAATTATATTGTAAACAATGTTCAGACAAGTGACAATTATCTTCCAAACACAGATAACACCTTGTAATTGTCGAATTTAAAACATAACTTAACATATCAGTTGAAAGGTTTTGTATCGAATACATATGAAAAAATAAAGTTGAAACGAATCGTCGTACTTGTAGACCTCAAAAAGTGTCAACGAGAAAGTGACCTTTATTTTGTATATCTTTTTAAATAACACCAGGAAAAAACTAAAATTTTCTCAACAGGAAATTATTAACCTTGAAATGTTGTTGAAACCTTATTCTTATTTAACTATCTTCTATCTCCATCTCCGTTTTCTTTTATTTTGTCTTCATTAGATAATTTTTTTGTTAACTGGTATGTAACTAATTAGTTTTTTTAAATTACAATCAGTACAGCTTTTCGTTTCTCTTTTCGCACTCGGTAATTGCCGCACTTATTTTTTTTTCTCTCTTTTGCTTATTGTATGTACTCGACGCATCTCTCCATAGTTCTCGGTACCTGTTTTTTACTTTTACGTCCTACAGAAAAGCTTTAAAGACCAGAGACTTGAGAGTGTCCGAGAAATTGAGATTTGAAATGTTATTCATGACCTAGTTATGAAAGGAAAATATGTTCCTTTGGTAATGATACGTAAAGAGCGAGGATAAGAACAAATTTTGAGCTGCAGCGACAGTGGTTCTGATTATGAAAGAATTAGGATTCAGATACAAAATTAACAATAGGAGAAGATACATCATGGAGTAAACAGATATATCATCAAAACGCGTTTTGGAGAGGGTATGTCGCCAATATGATTTCCGATACTCCTGTGTTCTTGGACGAAACGTGGATTTGCCACTATGGAAGCAGCATATTGACTTGGCACGATGAAAATCCCCGATCTATATGGAACAAAAAAAAACAGCCGCTCTAAAAAGGTATATCATCGCTTATGTTGGATTTATAGATGGAAGTGAGGTAGTCTTTTCCACAAAAGACAAGAATTATGACTGTCACGAACTACACAAACTACTGCCGATACTCGAAAGGCCGTCTTTAAGCATTATGGATAGTGCACGATATCATTCTAGAATTAGTGAAAGTGTACCAAATGCAAAGACAAAAAAAGAAAAAAATTATCAATTGGCTGCGCTGTGAGCGCATTAATTATCCAGAAAATGTTCTAAAATGTGACTTGTTAAAAATTGTCAAAAATTACAAAGCAAACTTGCCATATACCACAGACGAAATAATAATCTTGACATGGGTCATCTTACATTTAATGCCATAGAATTGGTGTGGGCTCAGTGCAAATTTTTGAGGCAAGCAAAATGATACTGCAGCAGTATCTGTTTGGAATGCGGCTCTCCAGACAGTTGCTGAATACTGAGTATGTGTGTACTAGTTAAATTGATAAAGTAATATAATCGTGATTGTTAGTGAGGGCTGTCTTGCAATGATCAGATATAAATTTAGGGCTGATCAACATCTATTGAAGTATCAGTGAACAATCCGTTTTATTCTGTCTGGTAATTTATTGACGACTATGCCATCACAAATCTTACAGACTATATGAAGTAATATGTCTACAAAATCGGGCCCGAATGCGGCCGCCGCCGAGATGCGACGCTGAAGTGCCGCCGCGACGCGCTGTCCGCGCCGCCACGCGACCCTCTATCGAACCCCCGACGCTGGGAGTCAACCCCGAACAACATAGCAACGTGGCGGTGTCGTCGCGACGCACTACATTTCGATTTTCGCGGATTGTAAGAGACCGCGATTATTCGCCGATGGTGTTAAGACCCTGACGCGTTCGTTGAGGTGGTCATTATGAGACACGGATGAAATGCAAGAACGGGACAGGCCTCGGATAGCCCCGAAACCGGCGATCGCGTCGAAGCCCAAGTGCGTGCCGCCCGTAAGAGTGCAGCAGGGGGGCAGGGGGCGCGTTGGCGGAGGCGCTTCCATCCTTAAAAATGAGGTTAAGTCAGAGACGGTCGGAAAGGGGCGAGAGACGAAGCCGGGACAGTCGACGGCGTGCTTTACCGAGAAATGCGACAAGATTTATCGCAAAACGCTAGAGGTAACACAGAAGACGCCCAATTCGCCCAGCACCGTGTGCTGCAGTATCTTGTCGAACGCGACCGCGGACTGCTGCGGGATCGTCAACGCGGCCAAAAAAGAGCTGAATAACGGAAAGATCACGAAACTCGACTCCCTAGACTCGAACTCGTCGGATTCGGGCGGCTTCAAGGACTTCCTGCAGTTGTCACCGGAGGAGAACGGCCAAATGCCGCCGCACCACCAGAGAAACGTCTCCCAGCCCGAGTTTCTCACCGAGAGGAGGTTGTCGGAGTGCAGGCCGCAGTCGCACCAGCGGAAGGCGTCGCAGCCGGATTTCGCGACCAAGACGCCCAACGCGCAGGCCCTCGCGCAGTTCCTGCCCCAGACCGAGCAGAATATTTTGTTGCACAGCAACAATAAGCAGCATGGCGCCGCGGAGAACAGACAGAGACAGCCGAAACCATTGATGGCGCACGGCCAGTTCCAGCAGTCGACCAAGAAACTTGAGGAACTGCTCGCCCAGCGCTTGGAGAAGGAGAAGGCTTTCAAAAAAGGCGACGACAGGTCGGCGGCGGCGGGCGTGCCCGACGGTGCCGACCAGAAGTTGCTGATTCAGCGGCAGCTGCACCAGAAGCTGCACGCTGACCTGCAACAGACGGTGAAGCACATTCGGGAGTTGCAGAGCACGGAGCTCAGACTGCCGCAAAATAACAGCTGGATCGAGGTTAGTCGGTTTAGTTGAGAGGTCCGTATTTGCGCTTTCCGCTTCGGAAACTAACGTTACGGTTAATGTTTTGTAGAGCAACAGGAGTCAACCGGCGATCGGTTTGAAGCACACACCGAAATCGAGGGTGAGTCTTTTCGCCGTCCTTAGTATATACGATACACCATACCACATAGCTATTAGATAGTGTGGGGGTCTTAAATTTTGTAAAACTAATACAACTCCAGCAGCCACAACATTTTCGCGCGGCGTGGCTGTTCTCGAAAAAAAGGAAAAATTTGACTCCCCAGTAAAATTTCGAACAATAGAAATGAAACAGAAAGACAGGATTTTGTGTTGCCAAATTTCTTAACAGTATTTCCAACCAACTAACTACCTCCCATAGTATATTTTTATATAACTATAAGGAGTGGTCCAATAAGTAGTAGCACCGCCACATTTCGTGTTCGCATCGGTTAGAAATTACCTGTTTTGCAGTCCTATGTCAAAAAATAGTTCAATTTTTGGAATTACAGCATTACAGCACTCTCATTTTGTTTTTTTTACAGTTATTTGTAGTGATATGTGTATGAGTAATGAACGACTTTGAAATTTTAATTTTTTAGACAGTGATATTTTAATTAAAAATGAGATACGCTTATTAGGCTTAGTATTTTAGTACCAATATAAGATACGTCTAGAGTGGTTATTGTATGTTGTATGAATTATATAATAAATACTTGCTATTATAGAATATACGCAGGTTTATTATATTTTTTAACAAATATTTATTGAATTTAACATAAGCTTACAAAAAAAAATACAAAAATGTCAGTTGGAGCCATCCATCGTGTTGGCAAAGTGCAAAACTGAAACATGTTCTTTCTTTTTGAATGGAATGCCAAGAATCTTTGTTTGCTTTTTTGGCGGGGGCAGCTTTTTAGTTTTCGTAAATTTGGCATTTAGTAAATTAAGTTCAACTGTGGGACCATCAAAGTCATTTCGGTATGGCGTAATATTTTATAACAATTTTATTAGCATTAATTTCATCAGAATTAACAACGACCAGATCTTATTTTGTGCGGAATAATTATGAAACCACAATTTTATTTTGACAGAGTCTGCTTTGATAAGGAAAAATAGGTAAAATATGTTTGTCAATTCATCTTTACTACTTTCAAATGATGCGCATGCCAAACAGCGGTAATTGTTGTGCTATTCTTTTTTTTGGCCAATTGGTACAAAGTTCTCATTATAAGCCGCTAGCGATATGTTAACTTTCTTAGCCACTTTTCATAAGACATTTTTATATTTGGATGTTTCAAGCAACCTAATGCATTGCAGCAAAAGTAAGGTCACTAGGACGGTAAATAAATAAATCTCAAAGCACAGGCACTATGGAAAACTTTATAACTTTGTTTCTTAAAACCGAGAGTACATCTCACCCATTCTCAATCTCCTCTAGAGCCTCTTTAAAATCGGCATTGACAATGTCGAGCCAGTAGGCAAGTTGGTTAAGGTCCTCCATTACGATTGCTAGTTTTAGACATTAATTTAGCATCTAAAAAAGACAAATTTGTAGGTGTTAATTTTGCGCTTTTTCCCGATTTCTCTCACGAATGGTCCCTCGGGAGTAAAAATTTTAGGGAAACTTTGGCTGTTTGTCTGCAACATTTCTGTTCCCTAAAATTTAAGATTAATGACTCAGAAGGGAATCTTTCGCGCATGCGTCTAAATTTGGAACACAAACCTGCACTTTGGTTATATTTTGGCAAAATGCCCAAAAAGTACCACACCCACGCTGACAATTGACGAATCGAATGTATATTTAATGCCTGGAGTGTTTTTTTTACATTGACAGTGTTGGGAAAGGCATCTATACATCTAACAGCTATGTGGTACACACGTTAATTATCTGTTGCCGAACGGGTGGGTACTGGTCAAGTACGCGTAAATACGTTAATGCAGTATTCATCTCGATGCCCAATAATTCCTGTTTGGAACTACCTGTGCAGTCGTTCTGTCGGCGTTGCCACATGTAGACCATTGCGATGCACCGACGCGAAATGGACATGCCCCTTGATGACGGACGACCCATTGAAAAGCCGCGCTATTGTTATTATTGCTTGAGTGAACTGAGCTGACCTTTTGTTTACTTTTTTTTATGTGGGCTGCATAACAATAGTATAGTTTTACGATACTGATCATGAAGTTTTTAAAGCACGAATGGATAGTGCAACGTAGCGTGTGTTTAAAATCTAGAGCTGGTTGCATCAAGGCAAGAAGAAGCATTAGAAAAAGTGCAGTGTTGTCATCGCTTACCGTGCATAGTTTATCTGCGTGAACCTAGAACAGGACAGGATCTAAAAAGGAACACATGACGTCACCGCACTCTTTTCTAATAAATCGGAGCTTACTATGCTTTTTCCGCCACTATTACTAAGACTAAAATGCAATTGTTTCCATGATCAAATTAAATTTAACAGCTCTGCAACATAATGATAAAATTTTAAACTGACAACATATGCTTTCGTATTTTTGATATTTCGAATATGGATGGTGCGCCGAATAATGTTGATTTTGCAGTTTTTGATAAGTAGTTATAAGCAATTATTCAAACAAAAATAGTTTTGCGTTGTTTATATAGGTAACCTATAACCTATATCTATAACTATGGTGACACAGCTTTGATATTTCTAAGCTTAGAAAGTGATTGGTTGAACCAAATAATCGAAACCCGTTCTATCGCCGCAAACATAGGAACCAAACCATTCATAAATGTTGGTTTATATTCTTTGGGTGCCGCTTTCTACTCATTTTATCTACGAATTGTCGGGCCTGCTTTGGATATAATGTCATTATTCGAACCAAATTTCTTTGATTTAGACCGTTAAAAATTATGTAAAAAATATTCCTTCTAATAATAATCAGTCATAACAATACCCGAATTTACCGGAATGAATTAATCAATAATTAATCAAAATATTTTTTAAGATAGATTTGATTCGCGAACACAGCAATGGGCATCTCGTGTATCTGAATGTCCGCAACGTTGTCAGACCGTATTTTATCGTCGGAATGAAGGAACGTTAAGTACGCATTGAGTCAGTTGCAATTTTTCTATTCGCCAAAATTATGGGTACTGCGAATGAGATGTCAAATCAAAAGAAATAATATTCAAAGAGAAGCTAGACCTGTGTCTAAACTAAAAAGGAAACGAATATCACAAACAAAATTTGGATTAAAAAAATGAAAAAATTGAGAAATTAAAGTAAGTTCTCGATTCTGCACTAAAAATCAAAAGAGCATTTGGCATTTGATCGGAGCGATGCAGTGCCCTGTAATGTGTTCAGCAGCAAAAAGAAAATTACGAAAAAATAAATTTATTATCAAACATGCTGAAACAAATGCAAAACGAAACATAACAAAAATAAAATACTTTTGGTTAGTTTTGCTTAGTAACAAAAATAAAATGGTTCATTACTTCATTACAAATGTCTACGAAATAAAAAAATAACATCGGAAATACCTTTCTGGGCTTAATTTCATTTTGAAAATAAACCCAAAAATGATGATTGCTTAATCTTAAATCAATCCCTCATTTAAAATAAATCGTACCTTTAAAAATCCCGAATTTTTGAAATTTGAATTTTATAGGTATGAATTGGAAAAAACCGTAACCTTTTTTGTTCAAACAAAAATTATCTATACACCTTGAAAAAAAAACAGTATTATTGTCCATAGTTTCACGCTTTTAAAATTTAACGTCCTTTTTTGAATAATTGAGATGGCATTTTTACATAATTTATTGCTATCATTAATATTATATTTAATGTTATAATATCGTAAACCATATCACGCCTTGCACGAAACAAATAAATAATAAATCTACCTACGCAAAAGTAAAATAGTTTTACAAATATGACGCTTGGGTCGGTTCATTCATAGATAAAGAACGTTGATTAATTAGGTACGGTTAACAATCATTTAATCCTGCGGATTCTAGCGTAGGGAGACTCAAATTATATGCCAAATAGCAAATAGAGCTTGGAAACTCCCTTTTAATACTTTTGTCTATGTGTAAAACTGAAATAGAACCGTCAAAGTGGGGTAAACGGCATTTGACTCACGCTGCGCTTTGCTCGTGTCAAATAAACGAGTGACTTAAAAAGTTTACCGAACATGTTGCATACTATACTTTTTCTATGACCGTTAGTTTTTGGGTACATTTTCGCAAAACAACAAATAACCGTCAGAATTGACCCGAAAATGTCCGAAGTGGCTCGGATCCTTGGAAAACGAAAATGACGTGGTAAAGTGACGTTTCCCGCACGCTAGATCGGTGTGTAATTAGGTATTCTACAGACGGGAGTAGAAAAAAATATTATGTCACTTCGGGCGCAAAAGTTTTCATATGAGTTTTATGTCCGTTGTATGGTTTAGGTTTGGATATTGCTTAAATAAACAACTCATTTAGTATTTGTGATGTAGTGCCTTTATGGATTTATCCAATGTTCAATATTAAAGGACAAGCAACAGTTTTAAATTCAATCGTCTGTTAATGGATGTCGCTCACTTTAGCAATACGTTTGCAGCTTACCGACAAACCACCTCGCGGCTTTTCACAATATTTAATTCACCATTAATTTCATAAGGAGTGCTTTTAATTTTTCTAGTTTTAAGGTACACCGTAAAAATGTCCTTCGTTATCGTTTCCTGCAGTAGAGAGAAGTAAAATTACATGTTTTGCCTCGCCTTCAACAAAACTCCGGGTTTCAAATTACAATTTAAATACGATAAAAATGGATTTTATCGTAAGATGTTGTTCTCGAGTCATTGTCCACAAACCACACACCACAACAACTAATAATAGAGTCACTAATAATGCTTTATTGTCGCTTATGCAGGTACAAGGTTTTCATTTATATTTTTATACCCATCTACAAAGTGTATTACAAGGGATAGGCAAAATCTTTTTATACGTTCTGAAGATAATAGAGAAAAACTCATACTTGTATAAACGGTTTTTTGCATCCTCTTTACACTTACACTTACACCGTCGACTGTATCAGGCTGAAGCGGCAGGCAGTTCTAGTAAAAAAACTAAGAAAGCCAAAATTTGAAAATTTGGATCGGGCAATGTTGCAG